ACAAAAAGCTGTCTAACTATGGCAAGATTTTTTTACTCAATTTGTGCATTATTTGTACTCTACTAAGCGCAGATAGATAGTAAATATATGTTTTTCACCAGTCGGGAGGTCCCAAGAGGAAAAACTCTGCCCGAAGTCTTTTTTAAAATTTTTTATACGGCCGTCTATTGGACCCAGTTCACATGGGGAAACAATTACATATACCATTCCTATCGCAGCTGTATTCAGAAGCATAAACATATCGATAATATGCTTCTGCTTTGTTTTATTGAGGAAGTGGTCCGATGTTTGGTGAGACAAAGCGTATCCTGTATTTTGAGCAAGTCGAGTAGACAGCATTAAAACAAATTGATGAAAAATTACCATGTCAAAAAACTGCAGTTCACTCTTTTCGCAATAGAACCAAATTCATGAAACCTGCAAGTTTGTGTGCATCACACTTAAGCGGTCCGTAATTTCTTAAAAGTTTGATGGGTTCTCACATAACAATATTGTCAAAATCAAATTACCGCGTCAGAATTAATGTAAACATGAACATCTCGGCTCAACTTCAATTTATTTTACGGAAAGGCCAATACCCTAGTTCTTAGGATAAAATCACGCATCTGCGGGCAAAGTGCGTTTTTTTCTAAATGAGTAACAGGTAAAGCTAGTTAACTGAAGAGAAAATGATGGAAGCTTGCTTACACCGTTCGCTATTATTTGAAATCCATCTAGGCAAAACTGCTTGTCCAGATTTCACGAAAAAGTAATCCGTAATTTAATTTCTTTTGCCTTTACACCACCAATAAGTTAAAAATTCCAAGCGAAATAATTTGTAGAATTAAAACTTTCTGAAATGTTGTTAAGGCAATGAACAGGCGCGTAGGTTTTTAAACCACGAATGCCAAATAATTTTACATAAAGGCAAATGGATTATTTTTCCTTCATCAAGTAGAAATAAATAACTCAAAGTGGAGCCTGTATCAAACGGCGATTGATTTAAAAGTTTTCGCCCTTTTCTAGGACCTCAAATAAGACCCAACTTATCTCCTCTGCTTTCTCGACTCCATTTACGTCCGCGTTCTCTTTGTTGTTGACTTTCTTCGCTCTGTTTTCTGAAGCATTTTGTCTTTCATACTCACGTTGCTCTGCACTAGATATTTGCCCTTTTACATGAGCTTTTTCATGTCCTCTTTTGCGTTCCTCTGGCTGTTTTCATGCCCATTTTTTTCATGTCGTTTCTCGTTTTTTTACGTTTTTCCGACTCGCGCATACCTATTACTACTTCTCCCCTTTTCCTGCCTATGTTCACTGAAATCCGGTTACCACAACTTAAATTAAAATGATTTCATCCGGTAGACATAGCTTAAACTATAAGTGTTGTTGCTTGCAAGTATGTTGATTAGAATTGCAAAATACTTTAATCAGTTGGGTTTTTTATTTTTATTTTTAATAATCAGCACTATATATTTTGGTCGTACGATCACATTTTCCGGCTTGATTGGTTACGGTTATTACTACTACTGATGAATCAGTGAAAGTCCCATTGATTAGTTCAATTTTAAACAAACACCTCACGTTTTAATTTTCTAAGCTACTTTTTGTGAAGGATTGAAATTAGTTGCAAACGGTTTTTTAGGCTGCGAATCAATCTATTTAATGACACAATTTTTGTACCAAAAATTTATTTCTAAACCAATATTTTGCTGCCATTTAAAGCGATTTGGGAAGAGAGAGGAAAGAGAGGATTAATGAGTTATTTATCGGCTTGAGGTCGTGGCCTGCGTCTTTCCTTAAAAATTAATGCACAGCCGGCAAAACCAGATTTATTTACGAAGAATGGCAACGTCGGTACGGATGACTCTACGTGCCGTGCCAGTGGGAAGGGATAGGAAAATACGAACCGCGCTAAGTACCCATCATATTGCAGGATTCGTCACTGTGCCCTCTGAGAAAAAAAGTAGTACCCCCTATACTAGCTGGTTGCAAAGTAATTTTTCCCAGCCCTGAAGAGGCGAGAAAAAATATGAGCAATGAGCAAATTTCCGCCCGTACTTTATGTTAAAACATCGAATAAGGATTTTTTTATTCCACTATCATTTTCAGGTTTTAGTATTTTAATTTTAGTATAGGAATTGCATCCCACAGCCTTATCTGTACAACGTATCGATCGCATAAGGTGTATGCGAGAGACGAAAACAACTTGAACTAAACCCTTGAGAGGTTCTTTGTCGTCGTTCCTCCTTTAAAGTTCGCTTCTTTAACAGTCTAATTTAAAAAGTAGACCAAAAAAGTTAAACTTTGGATAGTTCAGTGCGGCCAATATTCTGCTACGTACTTTTGCCTTGTTCTAATATATGCGGCATATTTTGCTATTAATGACACAATAGTGGAATGACAAGGCTCGTCAATGTTCTGATAGATATGAAGTATCACCATTTATTTATTCAATTGCTTATTACATTTTTATTTATTCTTAGACCCGCCCACAATTCAAAATGTCACCACGTCATCTAAGAAGTCTTGGATTGGCCAGACAGTGACTTTAAAATGTCTTTCTGATGGTCTTCCTACACCAACGCTCTCTTGGTACAAACCTGAAGGAAGTGAAATAAACAGAGTCAGAGCCAGAGAAAACAAAGTACAAGTGCCACTCAGGGGTGATCAAGATTTTGGTCATTACAAGTGCATTGCTGCCAATGGACTTATTCCATCTCATGAGAAAGTAATAAAGATAAATCAGATAAGTAAGTAAAAAAGATCAGTGTATTGTAATTAGAAGAAAACTATATATAAGGTCAGCATTTTATTCTGCGTTTACTCATTGTCACTGTTTCAGGTGCAGTAGAAGTAAAAGCCACATTTTCTAGCAAAGTACTCGACAGAGTAGCTCACTCCCTATGTACATCTCATTCGATAGATTAACATATAATGCGTGCAGATATTTTGCAAGGTCCATAGTTGTGTGGAAAAAGATAAGGGTACGTTAAACCATCGAATAAAGGATTTGTCATCCCGCTATTCTTTCATTTTCTAATTTTGGCCGCTTAGTTTTCGATGTACATTCTATGGGCTTATCTGAGCGTTCTGTTCGAATTTTTCCCCTCTTTAGTGGACAATGCACCCATATTTGTTAAAACACATTTGCAGAAAACTATCGACACATTACCCTTAAGTAGCATTAAACACGTTTCAAAAGAGCTATAAGTGATTTCGTGACTGAGCACTTTACACGGATCATTTTTCTGTCGACTTGGATTTGTGCCAGTTTTAACAACGTTATCTGCTCGCCGCAGATTGACGACATCCTCCAATGCGATTATCCATAACTTCCTCAACCATGGACTCTTAATTTTTCCTTTTCTTATCAGGCTAATTTATCCGGTAGCTACATGTATATTCATTAAACTGTGGTAATGCAAGGACCTGCATTCATCCTAGGTGTTTTGACAAAACTCACTGTGAGGTAGTCACCAAAAAAATTTCTCCTTCCCTTTTTTTTTTTCCTCAAAATGATCCCTTTTTATGGCACTGTATAGAGAAACCAGGGAAAGCATCCATCAAATCATCAGAATCAGTCATTCAAGCAACTTTGATAACAATACGATGGACTGCACCAGCTGATGATGGAGGAAGTCCGATTACAGGATACCGACTGATCTTACGAAAGGGTGAAACTGAGATAGAAGAGGATAATATCACCGATCCTGGGACGACTACTCATTCGTTTCGTGGTTTGGAGAGTGATACCAACTACACGGTGAAACTGTTTTCCAGAAATTTTGTATTCGAGGGAGATCCTAATATAAGGAAAATTAGGACCATATTTGAAGGTGAGGAATCACAAATGATTTCGTGACTGAGCACTTTACACCAATCATTTTTTTGCCAACTTAGATTTGTGCCAGTTTTAACAATGTTATCTGCTCGCCGCAGATTGACGACATCATCCCATTCGATTATCAATAACTTTATCATAAGATTTTTGATTTTAAATGCTTGCCCACTTCTTAGTGGCCAGTTCCCTTTCCCTCTCTAATGGTTGTTTGAGAGGTACCTACGTTTTAAGAAGCAGAATAATTAATAAACCACAGGTGAAAGTAGGTGAGATGAGAAAACAAACTTAACGGATTCCGTTTCATACACTACGCTGACCTTTTATTTCAAATAACCTTACGTTGGCCCTTTTTCTGTCGTCACGCAAAAAAGGGTTCGCCACTTTGCTAAGCGTTATTGTAATAACGGACATACTAAGTTGGTTTTTTCATCTTTTGAAAAAGGGTAATATGTTTGGTGTGAGAGACCCTATCCCTCGTGGGCCCCATACCCCGTAAGTGTGTAGTTTACAAGTTTTTACGTACAGGCTGTAATGCCTACTATGTGGACGAATCCTCTCGGCATTTATCCACACAAAATTCTCGACAATGTCGCACTCTATGTTCTGATGAGTGTTTTAGCACCTTAGATCACGCTTCCACAACTCTCCAACTTAAAAATCAAAGAAGCTATGCACGTTCAGTGAGGGCAAGCTAAACTTTATCACCAACTTTATCATGCTAATTTAAAACTTTCTTTGTAATTGCATACATTGTTCTGTTTCCATTGTTTGTTTGTCCAATCAGGAGTTTGTTATACACTTTAAATTCAACTTTGTATTTTATATACATGAGAACTTCAGACAGCAGAAGAACTGTCGAAACATTTTTAAAAAATGTCGTATATTTTCTTAAACCAATTATCTCTTCTGACAGTGAGGCGATTTAATTGCTGATAATGGTTGTGACCAGATTTGTAACAAGAAGTTGGATAATTATTACAAATTTCACAGTATTTGTGTTGTTGACATCAATCTAGGAGCCCCAGGTGTGGTTGAAATAGACGAACTGCCAAGTGAAACAACAGACAATAAAATTACCCTTAAGTGGAAGGAGCCAAAAAGTAATGGAAAAGTTATCACCATGTATACAGTGTACCTAAGAGTGATGGCTGATGGGAAAGTGGGACAGTGGACAGAAATACGGAAAATCAGAGATGCCTCTGTGAGAGAATTGAAAATAGCGTTGGAGAGAGGAAGGGTTTATCAGTTTGCCGTTACCGCAACTAATGAGCTTGGTGAAAGCCTAAAACAAGAGGAAGCAAATATGCAGCAAGTCAAGGCGGAGGGAAGTATGTTCAAATGAATCTTACTTTCCCCTTTCGTCGGTTAATCATTTTCTTTACTTAGTTTTCAAGTACTCTCCGTGTCATCAACATCGAGGTTTTTAAGGGTGAATTCTTCACTTGCATAAAACCTGAATCAATGAGAAAAATTTTACCATTGGCTGATGTACGAGAAGTTGTTTTGCAGTGTGTTTTGTTACTACATTTCAGTTAACAAGTTAATTAAATAATAATAGTTAAACGGCGGCAATTACACTTACAGTTGATGGCTGTGTGAATAATATCAAATTCAGAAATTACATTCCTATTCGGGATTTGTTTATAATGACAAGGAATTGACTCTTGACATGCAAACGCATTGCAAAGAGATAGAGTCATCCACCAGGCGTAAATAGGGGGCTGGACTCTGGATCGTAGCATTGATCATTGTATCAGCACTACTTTCTCCACTAGAGAGAAACTCAACTCTTTGTTAACCACCGTCAGTTACTTTCATTCAGCTCTAAATAGAGTTTTTATCCCCACAGATGGCTCTGAAAGCACAGCAAAAGGTAAATTTATAAAGAAATTGTTAAACGCATTGAAGTTCACAAAGCAACCAGGTGCATTATGAGGCATGATTTGATGCTACTCTAGTTTAAAGATTTAAGGAATGAAGTTACAAGTAATACTCCTGATGAGAAGGAACCAGCGACTGGTTTTGCTGTTATTCCTTACATTCACGGTGTTTCGGAACCTATGAAGAGAATTTTGAATAGCCACAACGTTTATATTGCTCAAAAACCTTTTCAGATTTGGGGCATATTTTTATTGTCAAACCTAAGGTTTCTATCACAAATGAGCAACTAACTGAGACGCTTTTTATTCTTTTCTGTGCAATGACAGCGATCACCAGTATATAGGAAATACCAAACGTCAGTTTGGTACACATTTGAAAGAGCATCAAAAAGCGGCCTTCTTTTGTAAAAAAGAAAATTTAGCTTTGTCGGAGCACACATGCCTAACTAACCATACAGTTGAGAAGGATAATTCTAAAATTATCACCACTAATCCATGTTACCACCAACACCTTTGTTTGGAAGCCTGGCATATTAACTTTGCCCACGCTCCTTAAATCGTAATGATGGCGGCTCACTACCTGACGCATATTTACATCTCGTTAGAAAAAAGGGCAGCTAATTAGTGAGCATGTAAAAGGACCTCTTGATGTAACGATTAGATCACCCTTGATGAAGGCACTAGACAGGAGTGTTGAAACGTTGGGTCTACGAATCGTAACTTGTCAGTTACTTTCAGTCCATTTTACAGTTGCGTGCTTGGTTGCCAAGCCTTTGAACAGGAGTGAGTCTGAAGGTGACCTTGTTATGATACAGACCTTGCTGCTTTTCAAATGCAAATGACTTTTT